CCCATCCCATTTTAGCACTGAAGATGTTACCTAGCCAGGCAATGAAACGTTTGCAAGAAAGGAACTGGCTCAGAGAACCCCAAGGACTCCACATGCTAGGAAGAGTCATATTCTTAAAAAAAAAAAAAAAAGTATATTAGTTGCACACAATACCCAGGCTAAAACTCAGTATAATTGCACCCCTCAATAACAGGCAGCCTGTAGCAGGCATAGATGAGCAGTAAGTTGAATGTAAAGTCAATTTACATAATGGCTGGAAATGGATAGTTTTATGCTTTGGGAGGGAAAGGAATTTATGAGAGGTTTTTCATGACCACATGTACAAATCCATTAATTTAAAGAGCAGACACCTATTACATATGGATATTGCTCTCCCTGCAGAGCCTCTATGAGAAGAATGAAAACAAAAAATATCAAAGTCAAGGAATGCTACAATTTTTACAACAAACATGAAAAGACATCTATGGGAGCTTGTGGAATTAAGGTAAGACACCAAGACATCACAAAGTTACTGGTTTGCCCCTTACATACTCTGAAACAGGAAGGTCATATAAAAGTGACATATGTAGGTTTGTGACACAAGAAGAAACAGGCAAGATCTAAACTAGTTATTCTCTAGACAGAGATCCATGCTTAAAGGGAATCTGATGCTAGTCAGTCATGAAGAACCTACAGCTGCCTGTAGGGAGGCTGAGAAGAAGACTACTCTTTTTCTTAGCCCTGCTACAGGGACTAGCACACTATTTGGAAACCAGAAGATTCTAATTCTAGTCCCAGGTACGTATATCAATCATTACTAATAATATCAAAAACAGTTAAAGCTTCCTCTGAGCAAAGCTTAACTCCTGGTGATAACATAGATATAACCATGCGATTTTCCTGGCAAAAGTATGGAAGTGGTTTGCTACTGGCTTCTTCCAAGATGTTTTATAACTTACCAATGATAGTCTTCTATTCATGTTCTAATCAGTCCTACCCCACTTAGCTTCCAAGACCAGATAATGTTAGCGGAAGCTACCCCTTGCTGCTTCAAAATGAAGGATGAGGTTTGGTTCGTTTAGCTCTTGAGAATGTTCTATTGTTGTCCAGATTCTGGATGAAAAAGTAATTGCATCTTTACCCTCCTCCTCCTACAAAGATATAATATTGAACGGGTTAGCTATTCCCTAACAGCTATTGGTTGATTGCTGTTACTTGATCCTTATGTAACAAGCTACGAGCAGAATCACAACTACTTCTTCAGCATTTCAGGGGGTAGTGCTGAGGGCATCCCAAAAGCATGTTCTTAAGAAAAGTCATCAATGCAAGCTTCCCACTTACCACAAATGAACTTAATAGCTAGGGTACTTGGGAATTTCCGGGACTCCCATTGTGGAATCAACTTTGCATTCCCACTGGAAATTAAACTGTTATGGAAAGGTTAAGTACAGTATTTCACTGCACTGTTTTTTTATTTTCATTCTGCATTTTGGACACAGGATAATGTGGGTTTAATGACTCTGGAACCTCAGTACTACGCAAGCAGATTTGGACTCTGAGCCAGCAATTTAGCATTGGTGTTGAACTTTTAACCTAAAAAGTCTTGATGAAGAATTGCTAGCTGGCAGGAATCCCATCTGATAAGAGCTGTATGTGTATTTCTAAATAATATCCAGATTAAAAAGAAGTGTTATTTTCTGGGCAAAGTAATTTGTGGGCAGCAAGTATTTGGGAGCCCTAATGTGTACTAGAAGTGAAAGCTACTCCATTCAGTGGGATTTATTTCCAAGAAAATACATGCAGGAATGACTTTATAGCTCTTGTCTATATGCAAATACACTGTTAGATTTTCTTCTGTATGTCTAGCAAACTCAAATGAGAATGCAGATAAGAACAGGACTATCATCCTTACACCCCACTAGAGGACTTGTCAAAGCAAGTTATATTAGAACTCATAAAACCTCTTCCTTGGGTTCTCTTTTCAACTTTTGATATCCTTCGCTGATCTGTTATAATGCCAAATATCTTTATCATTCTGAAGCAGCCAGAACTTGTGGCTCAGGAAATCATCACTGAAGTTTTACAATCATATCGGTTCATACAGAGGAACCCTTCCTTATTATGAATGTTGATACCAGCACCATTTTCTAAGTGCTCAAAGCACCTTCACAGAAATAACTTGGTATTTTTTCTCCCTTATAGTGTTTTATTATAAGGATAAAAAATAATGATATTTTTTAAAACCATAGTTAAAAAACAGGTAAAGGTGATTTGAGTTTCAACTGACGACCACAAAAAGTACAAATTACATCACAAAGTAGAATTTTGAAGCTGTACAACCATTGCAGGCATTTAAGCAGAAGCTGATATTCTGTTGTTGAATAACTATTTAGCTTCTTCAGTGTCTGTATTTCAAAAGCAATGGTTTCCCCTCACTTCTCAGTTGCCAGGAGTACAGAAATAGGAAATATCAGTCTACTAACCAGTTCTCAATCTGAAATCCATTTTAAAACCTAAAGAACTTTTGTTAATAAAAGTTAAATAGTTGAAGTCCACACATCTTAAAGTTGCCAAGGTTGAGAAACACTGGAGTAGAGGTTTCACAGGGGCATAACAAGAAATGTCCGTAACTACCCATACTGCTGCGTCTGGACCAACTGCAGCTTCTGGATGGCCTTCAAGGGCAGCCCCATGTAGAACATTGCACAGTCATGACTAATGATAGCTACATAAAATTAGCCAAGCTAGATGGAAGCCCCTAGCCAGCCTTTTCTTAAGTAAGAAACTTATTTTATATTTAGATGACACATAAGTCACAGTAGGTGGCAGCACCTAGCCAACCCTGGCTGACGTAGCTCAGCAAGGCTAAGCCTGGTTAGTAATTGAATGGGAGACCACCAGGAAACTGCAAAGCTGTATACCAGACTGGGAAAAAATAAAACATACTGGAAGAATACAAATGCAACTCATTTCCACATTATTGTCAAGAAACACTATATGGGCACGTTGAAGAAGATTCTTGGAGCTAAGTCTGACTTGCAGGAATGATAACTTTTGATATATTTCAGGACTCAGTACTTCAGTATCAACTGAGAGGTTCCTACCAAAAGCAGATAACCTATGGGTTCTTCTGTGTGGTGTACCCATATTAGTTCAGCGCTTCACAGCAGCAAATGCTGTGTATGTCTGCCCTTCTTTTTGCAGTCACTATTGCTTCACACACAGCGGCACAGCACATAAAGAAAGGCTGCAACCAAAGATTTCTCTGAAGGCACAGCAACAAAGGAATCTATGAAAAACATATGATGCTTCGCTGATAAGCAAAGAAACAAAGGTGAGCCAACTCTCAAAACCTCAACTAATCCAGGATACAGTTTACTTCCCCAAGTCAGAAAGACAAATGACCAGCACAGGTAAGTATGTGGATAGTTAGCTGGGAAAGTATGTGGATAGTTAAGACATGCAATTTTCCTGTTCAATGCAAAATAAGTATTATTAAACATCCAATATGTTAGGGGGCTTGAAATGTCTGGGGTACAGGGCTGTTTTTTAATTTTGGTTTTTTAAACAATGATTTTTATCTGTGGTTAATGTATGGCTTTTAAAATATTGCTATGTCATGTCAGCTGTCATGTGTGAGCTTATTAAGTGGTCAGGATAGAAGTAATGCAAATTAATTTTGCAGAGTAAAAAAACACATTTGATTTCTAACACTCAAATGTCTAAAAAAGTTTCATGTGAAAATTCCAAAAATGTTAACAACCTAACTGTAAAAATAGGGGCAAATTTAACCATGGGGTTTTGTCGCATTGGCAGGGAGGCCCCATAAGAAAGAGCTGACCAGAAACTACAGAATGCTGTTGGGCTTTGCTCCAGTAGCTTTGCAGCTGATGAATATGAGAGGAGGCATCAGATAAGCTTACTACATGATTTAATAACTGCATCAGTTCAACAGCCATGTCAGCAGATGTCCAGCCTAGTAAATCTACTTATTGCTTCTAAAAGGTCAGCAGCAGCTGAATGAGGCAGCAAACTGGGGAATGTGACAAAGATGTAGAACCCTGGATGATTTAAAAACAGAATATGATTCAAGCAATGGCTCAGAATAATTCAAGGACTTCAAAAATCATCTAGCCAAACCCTGCCAATGCCATAAATCCACTACTACAGCATTACTGATGAGTGGCCAGTTGCCACTTAAAAACTTCTGACAAAGGACATTCACAATGTATGAGACAAACTGTTCCAACGCTCAACAACTCATATCCCCAGGAAGCTCTGCTGAAAGTAGAGGGAGTTCCATCCATCAAATTCTGCTCCTCAAGAAGCAGAAACATGGAATTTTCCAGGTGGATAAATTGCTCCCTGCTTCTTCCTACAACAATAAAGTAATGGACGCTTAGCAAAGCTTTGCAAAAAGAATTTTACTTCTCTTTTCTAATTTCAGTTCTTGAGGTGGAGCAATTAAATTGAGCCAGATTAGATTATCTCCCTTATTCCAATATTTGGCTGAAGAATGAGTATGAATGTCTGTGTGTTTAAACCTACGGATTTAGGATCTTGCTTCTGGAGCAATAAAAAAACAAATTTCTCCTGCCATGAATATCTTCATATCACCTGCCAAGTATCTACTTTCTAAAGCAAACATAACCAACTCTTTCAACAGTTCCTAATGTGCAATGGCAGAAATCTTTGGTTCAGACTATATAACGTATCCATGAGTTGACAGAATGGATGATATCTGACCACAGCAAAGCTTACTGCATTGCTGCTGCTAGTGAAACGATTGAAATGGTAAACTATAAGCAGGCAAATCAAGTCCTAGTTGCAACTCTTTTAAAGTCCATAGGTTTATGTGCCACTGGCTTGGTTTAAATACCATGTTAAGCCACAGTGACTTTAATAAAATTAAGCAGAATTTATACATATATCACGTCTATCATATCAATGCACTGAGTCATTTCAAAACTGAGACCCAGTTCCTCAGCATAATTAATTCATTTTATACAATAAAATCATTAGCAAGGTCATCAGAAGCACCTTTTAGGACTTTTGTTTATAATTTGAGTCCTTTAAAATTAAGCATCTGTAGAAAACAGAATGCCAGATATAGAATGAAGAAAATGATATTAAGTTTGTGTGTGTACATATATATGTCTGTATATATTAATGCACTGAGTCATTTCAGAACTGAGGCCCAATCCCTCAGCATCATTAAAATGTCCCCCAAAAGCACTTAGCATATTTTGCTTCCCAGTCAGCCACATGGGTTTTCCAAGTACTCTCTGCTGACAAAAAATTATTACGAGATCATGGACAACAACTGATTTCATTTTCAGCATCCAGTCCTAGTCTACTCTGATACATTAATCTTGAGTTTAAATATAGTTAGGAAAACATTTGAACAGGAAAAAGGACACTGGAATGCCACTAGAGCAGTGTTTCTCAACCTCTGCAACTTTAAGATGGATGGACTTCAACTTATGCTGGCTGGGGAATTCTGGGAGTCAAAGTCCACCCAACTTAAAATTGTCACTGCTCTAGAGACCTGATAAAATGTCTCTTAATTTAGGGCCTTAGAACTCTTTTGGGTCCAAGATTTGAAGCCAGATGTATCCAGTATTAATGTCCAACACCCAACAAGAATAGCAAAAAGAGTCCCCACCCTCCCAGGCATGCTGTTTTCGATGTCCAAGAACACTGCATTCAGCAACGTGCTTAATTAAATTATTGCGTGAGAGACAAGAAATGGAAGCAATTTCCTGCTTAGAGGCATTTACCTTCCCAAATATTTAATAGTTTATGTAAGACAGACTGAGTCAACAAATACTATGCAAAAGGAAGCAACCAAAAGCCAGTATACTGACATTCTATGCTGTTATGACTTCCTCTTTTCTGTAACATACTCGTGAAAGACTAATGCTGTACATTACTGCAAAGCACACTTTGCTCTAATTCAAATCTGATTGGAAGAATTTATTAACATCGTAATACTGTGACAACTATAGGATTTGTTTTTAATAGCAGCTTAAGTATAGATTAATATAACCTGCTGTTCTGCATAATTCAATGGTTCTGGTTTGGGAATTAATCAAGTAGCAAAACATAAGGTGAATTAAGGTTCTCAACAGCTTAGCCCTTGAAATTGCTTTCAGCATCAGCGATCTCTTCTGGAATATAAACCCAATGGCAAAATGCATTTCATCTGAGCATGAAGAAGCATGAAGAAGAGAGTAGTTCTCTCTCCTTGCAAATTATAAGGGATACTTCCAAGGCACTTTCTATATACCCCACTTCACAGATATTCCTATGTATCTGAAGTAGATTCTGACCACCAGTTATTTTAAATCCAAATACTTTTTGTCTTAATAAAAACATAGTCATTCAAGATTCTTAAATATTCTCTATCCTTCAAAATCAGTGTCTCAAAGGCATCCCATTTAGATTTTGTACCAATATAGTAGAATAAATACCATAAAGTTAAAATATATAATCCGCAGGATTTAAATGACAGAAGTCTGGGCAATCTTTGTTTTCTTCCTACTTCTCTCTCTCTCTCTCTCTCTGCAAGATATCAATAGCGTAACATTCTGATGGCTGGTGTGGGTCTTCCGGGCTGTGTGGCCGTGTTCTGGAAGTTTTGTTTCCTAACGTTTCACCAGCATCTGTGACCCGCATCTTCAGAGTACAGGAGCACAGACAGGAGCAGTTCTCTCTCTGCACTCTGAAGATGCGGGTCACAGATGCTGGCGAAACGTTAGGAAACAAAACTTCCAGAACACAGCCAAACAGGCCAGAAGACCCACACCAGCCATCAGAATGTTACGCTATTGATATATTGCAGAGAGAGAGAGAGAGAG